TGGCTTCTCTTTGTCTTATTCCAAGTTGGGGCATGAGATTTCCCCTGCATTAGAAGGTTGTTGAGACCTGAAGCCTGGGAAGGTAAGATGCCAGCGTGAATACTGTCCATTTAGAACTGTGGTTTAATTGAGTGTCTGGTGATTTAAGAGCATAAGACATTCCAGTTGTTCCTGGATTTGTGGTCCTGATGACCTTTAAGTTTTACCAGAATGTGTGAAAAATATCTACAGTTGGAAGGCCCATTAATACAACTTATTATTTATAAATTTTACATATAGTTTTATATTTACTGAAATTATTACTTAAAAGGAGGACAGACATATACCAACTTTTAATATATAAATTAATCTTTGTGGTTTTTTATACCAAGGATGGTAACAAAATCGACTACAAAATATATTTTTAAATATATATATAGTAGTTTCAGTTTTTCTTCTTGATCATTTTTAAAAAATATATACTTTATCTTTTAAGAACCTTTGTGTTTTGTTTTTTGAGGCGAACAAAATAGGGTAAACAAAGACTTGAGATCCTGATTTTGTCCACCTGGAGAAGGAAGACAACACTTAAGAATACTTTTTAAATCACAGAATTTTGCCTACATACATATGGGTGTCTCTCCCCAAAAGTCATCATTGGGGAAGGCGAGCCAGTGCACGGATCTGGTCCTGCTTTGCACTACTGTTGCTTGTCCTCGTCATTTGTGTACACACTTCCTTCACTTTCTGTGCTTTAGCTTGTTTCAGTAAGTAAAATGGTTCAAATTTTCACAGTGATTTACTTAAGCAAAAAAAAAACCAAAAACAAAAAACCTAACCCTTCACAATAAAACTGTAACAATACCCTGCGTCATGACAAATGAATTCTTCTCTGTGCAGAGTGTTTCATCCCTTTATACACAGATACACTCTGTAGTCCATTTCAACATACAAGTTGTCTGGTTAACAGTCAATCTTGAAAGAATCTAATAGACTTTGCTTTTTGACCGGACTTAGATTATACTTCACATTTTCAGTGCAATAGTTACTGGCCTTTAATGGGGCTAATATCATATAAATATAACGTTAAACAAAAATCTTGCAAGATTGAATAGCAGCTAAGTATCTCTAGATACTATTAAGAATCTACTAAATGCTTAGTGAGGTTACATTTACGGTAGCAGCTAATGAGTCACTCTTCCCTGACTTCTTGGCCTGTAAAAATCTAGTAGGACTTTCACAGGGTCTTGGCGTGTTTGCATATTGTTACATGGCCCTGGACTCCTAAAGGATTCAGGCCCATGTTGTCAGTTCAGGTTTCTGGAACACTCTAACAATTTATTTTATTTTGGTTTTGTTTTTACCATTTTTTCATGGGTTTCAGATTGAACTTTGATTACCAAAGAGTATTGGTCCAGTGGGAGTCAGTTCTGGCATATGCCAGTATGAACCTTTTTCTTTCCAGGATAGATTAGCCCAAGTGAAATGGCATCGACATTGAGTCTCTATTCGGCTAGAGTGGAAGTTTATAATATAAGCTTGTTTCTTGTTTTTGAAAAAATTTATAGTAATAAAAACACATTGATCACCATGCTCTTAACTTTTTCTGGCTGTAATTTTTCTTAGGCATTTTATTCCTTGTAGTCCAACAGTGAGATGTAGACATGGCCTTTGTGAAGTAACTGCTTTAATTTCAGTTTCACCTGTGTAATATGTTTCAATGTTCAAAACCCTTTTTGACATTGTTTTTGATTCTGGCAGTAGCCCTGTGAAATAGCTAAAGCAGGTGTTATTTCGATGTTACAGTGTTAAGGAGTTTAAGTGACTTGCTCAGAGTTACATAGCCAACCAGCATAAGAATGGGATCAAGAAATCAGTTTTTTCTAGCTCACTGTTCAGTATTCTTTCTTGAAGCTGAATGGTGCCGTTTGTTTACATGGTTAAAAACTTGGTTCTTTGATCCTGCTAAAAGATCGCTAACATCGTAACAACTGGAATGTTGAACAGTGCTAATATGGTTACCTTGAATGCTATAGAAGTTAGTGAATTTATTTCATGTCCAATGTACTAAACATAGCCTCTGGGTTTAGGGACAGATTATTGGTGGTATTCAGCCAGAAAGCTAACACATATAACTTGGATTCTGAGTTTTGGAATTTCTCACCTTGTTGAGCATTTGTACCTGTTCCAACATTCATCTTTCAGTTCGAGGAGAATGTGCGTGATCTTTAGTGCTTGGAATTCACCTCATTAGGTGGCATAACTGTTTGCTATTTGGCAGTCTGAGCAGAAATGATATCCAGGAGTCATTTAATAATTTAATAAGTTACATGAAGACTGAAGGCTACTTAGTTCTGCATAAAAGGGCTGTACGATGCCTCACCTTTCTGCTTTGCTTCGACTGGTACTGCCGTTTACTTGTCTGTCTGTATCTTTTTTATTCACCCTTACTTATCCTTAAAGGAGTTGATTATGTTGGCCTGAAATCAGATATTTGTGTCATAATATTTTCATAAATGAGCTCAAGCTTTAAAAGTGTAATCTTTGTACACCCTTTTTGATAGGCTGTGTTTACTTTTTGTATGATAAATACCTACTAAACATTTAAAATTAGATTTTAGGTTATCCTGCTTCTTAGGTAACAACATATTTAAATTCCTCTTTGCCTTTCTCTAAATTCTGCTTTGGTTGGTTAAATAATAACAAGGTTTGTTTTTTCTTGACTTTGCTTTATCTAAAGGTACCATCAGCTTTTGACGTTCCCACAAGAGCGTGTGTTTGTCTCGCCCAGCTGTAAGACAACAGAGCAGCACTCTAGTGCTGACTGGTTTCCTTTAATGCCTTTTTTATTTGTTTGCTTTCAACCTGATCTGACCACTCAGCTTGTATTTACACCATTCTCTTGACTCTTTCCAACTCAAAGTATTTATGATCCAGTCAAATCACAAGTCTGTCACCTTCTTCCTTGAAGTTCAATCTCACCTAAGCTTGAACAGCCTAAAGAAATTTGAGTAATGAGTTTATAGCTTTTTTTTTAAAGAACTCTTACTTATAAAGAAGAACTATGCTGTCTCGCTTCAAGATTTATTTCTTTAGGGTTCTAGTTATATTTTCTCAAATAGAAACTGAACCCCATTTTAACATTATTTCAAAACTTGGTAGTTATTTTAGAGCTATGACAGGATTTTTTTCAGTGGCTAAATCTTTCCTATAAAAACCTTTGGGAGTCATAAATAATTACTTACTGAATTCTATTTTTGAAAATTAGAGAAACTAGAAGAGTTTTTCTTTTATAAACTAAATTTAGAACTTTTTTTAGAAACTGTGCAGAATGTCCCTTTCCTTGTTTGCTTATTTTGTGATGACATTTGTATTGATTTGATTTGTATGGCAGTCTCTGTGTTAACTTTCTAGAGGGGGTGTGTGTGTGTGTGTTTGTGTTACTTATTTCCTTTTAGGGAAGTGGTATGTGGGGCCAGAGGAGAAAGAAATTATTTTCATTTAATCTTTTTTCTCCTCATACTTGGTTAACTGATGTAATCTATGGAAAAATAAGTATTTTTTATTTAGACTTTAGGTAATTGTGTTTTGTAAGGTGTTTTATGCTCATTTCAGTTTGCCACTCATATTCTAGCCTTTCTTTTCCTTTCTGTGTCTCCTCAACTCCGTCTTTGCTTTAGTTTGAGAGAATCACAACAGCTTCTTTGCTCAAACTGTCCCCCGCCCCTGTGGAAGCTGTAACTAACACCACCACTGCCTCACCCCAGGAGGAGCGTGAGGTTCATACGTGTCATATGCTCATTTACGTGAAATCGATCCCTTGTGCTGTGTCTTGATGTCCTTTCATTTATTTGTATACTGCGTCATTAGCCTCCTACGTTAGTTGTCAAGCATTGTTAGGAACTAGCTCAACGTGTAACTTTCTAGGCCTGCAGCCTTGTTAGTCTAAGGTGGGAGAAGGGGAGATAACATTTGTAAATACTTCCTAAACTGGAAAGAAGTGAGGGGGGGAATTAATTTAGTAGAATAAATGTTTCTATTTTTGGTAATCCCAGTTTAAAGAACATGTGTGATTACACGTGTACACACACACACACACACACACATACACACACATACTTTTTTATACAAAATTATTGCTGAGTGCAGTTTACTCCATAACTTCTTGGGTTGCTTTAGAAATAAACATTAATATGTTTTAAGATCCTATTCTTTATTTTAACTGCAACTGTGAAATAATGGAATTGATCTCATTAATTTATATCAATCTCTGTTTTCTAATCTTTGAACATATTAACAAGGAAAAAGGAACTGATTGATAGTACCAAAGATTATGGTTCTCTGTCACACAATTTTAAAGAGCTAAAAGTAATTAGCTTTAAAATATTTGGCTGGCTAATGAAAATATCAAAAAAAAGAAAAAACTCTAGAAAAGGAAAGTAATAAAGTATGGGTTAGAATTACCAGATATGAAAACATATTATAAAGCAACAGCATTGAAGTAATGTGGTAGAAGCCCAAGATTATAATTGTAGATCATAAAGAAATGCTGTTACGTATACAAATTTGACACATGTTAAAGGAGGCGCTGTTAAACAGTAGGAAAGGGAATGATTATTTAATAAATGGAGTTGGAATAATTAAGTAGCAATGTTGAGGAAAAATACACTTAGACCTATAGCTATACCAGATATAACAAAATAAATTTCAGATAAACTTAAGTGTGGATGATTACATATTGAAAATCTAGAAGATAAAAGGACTGAATATTCTATAATTTTTCTCGATTTTCTAAACAATTTGAAAACTGGGAAAGGAAGATGGCAAAGTTTTGACTGCATGTGCTGACCTGTTTTATTTTAACAGTGCCTCTGTGAGCATCACAGGAGAGCGTGCCTATTCTGTGTTTACAGTCTGAAAATTAGTCTTCTGTTTTTTCATACCAGCTGGAAACCTTATGCTTTCTATATTAATCAATGGAACAGAGAATGCAATTCTTTATCTAAAATTTTATTCTATAGATGCATTGAAAATTATACAGGAGCTCGTTGTGAAGAGGTTTTTCTCCCAAGCTCCAGTATCCAAACCAGAAGTGACCTGTTCGCAGCTTTTGTGGCACTGGCTGTTCTAGGAACTCTTATCATTGGAGCCCTCTATTTCCTCTGCAGGTAAGCAGAATTGAAACGTGGTCTTGAAAACAGTAATGCGTTAAGTAGCTGTCCTACTAAATAATCAACACGCCCTTTAGCTTTAGATTATTTTTTCCAGGTAGTGTTTTCAGTTTAGAGTTAATTTCTCTAATACAGTTTTTATTACTAAATTAAGAAGGCATTTTTGGAAGGATCTTAGGCAGTCTCTGTTCTTTGTCACTGTCATCATCAGTATTTACCTTGACTTTTCTAAACTAGTCTGGTAGACCCACATTCACTAAAGTGCTCATGCCAAGCACACCTAACGATTTGGGCTAGGTGTATTTAAAGTAAATTTTGAATGTGAAAGAAAAGAACCATTTTATGCAACACACTGTAAATATAAATTTAAGACATATGGTTAATATCTAGGGTCTGCTTTTTATTTAGTGCCCCCTACGTGCTAGGCACCGTGCTGATAAGCATAACGAATACAGTAGTAAAGTAGACATAGTCGCTAACCTCATCGAGATTTACGTCAATTTGGAGAGAAAGACAGATAGGCAGGCAATTAATTTGAGAAGACTAGTAACTCATAAGAAAGACAAAAGGAAGATTCATTCATGTGCAGAAATGCTATGCACTGAAGATTACTTTCATTCATTAGTTTTGGTCTTCAACTTTTTCTGAAATTTTGTGAAAATAAATGAATATAGAATTTATTAAATTTGAGTTATCTGATATCCTCTCTTATTATTAATATTTATTAAATGCATACTATGCTATCATAGATATTTGTGCAAATGGAAAATGGAGCTGAGGTATCATAAGAGATACAGGTGGGCTTGAGAAGTTTATATTCTAAGAAAAGTAACATAAATGTAAAGTTATATTTCATAAAATCCTCATTTCTGAAATACTTTACACTATAGAGTAAATAGATTGGGAGAGAGATTGCTCCTTTAAATTGTGTGGTATTGATATATAATTTATTTTAAAACATATCATTTAAGCAATTTGTTTTATGTCTCATAATTTTAGCATCTTACTGCTTTAGATACAGACATTTAAACACAAGCTTATTGTATCAGATTATATTTCCTCAAGATAGCCACAGTTATCTCTCTCATTCCACATGCTCTTCAGCAGTGTGACCTTGCCACTCTTACATCAAGAGGTAGAGTTTATTTCTCTAAATCTTTGAATCTGGGCAGGCATTAAGACTGCTTTGACCATAGAATATGGTGGAATGATGCGGTTCCAGTCCAGGGTGTCGCCTTTAAATGCCCTGGCAGCTTTCATCTCTGTCTCTCATTTTTGGGCTGCTCTCACAGAATCAGCCACCATGTGGTGAGAAGCCTGAACAGCACCAAGAACCCGCTCCAGCTGATCTCCCAGACAACGGCAGTGCCAACTACCAGCCATTTGAATAAGCCATCTCAGACATCCAGCTCAGTTGAATCTTTAGTTGACGCCAGATTTAGCTATCAGTTGACTACAAACACAGAGACCCCAAGCAGAAACTGCCCAGCTGTCATCCCGCAGAACCGTGAGAGGGAAACTGTTTTAATCCACTGAATTTGGGTTGATTGGTTGTACTGTTAAGATAACCAAAACCCATGTTTGGAATAAGGTTTTTTCTTGGCTTTAAATCATGATTGGAAAAATGATAAATAATGATTCACTGTTTTATGCTATCCCGCTAATACTTTGTTTAATAATATGCTGAGGAGAAGACCGACTGACTGACTCCTTCAGCACTCACGCTAGTGCTTGGCTGGAATTAGAGCATTTGCATGAGTTGCTGACTGGATCATGTACTTCTTGTAACAGCGGTCAGGAAAGGCGAGGTTTGGCTACAGTCACTTGTCAACCCTAACAGTTTAGTGCCTTAAAAAGATAAACGACTGTTTCCCATTCATGGTATATAATTATTATGGGTTGGCAGGCAGGGCTTTGCTGATCATAGTCGCTTAAAATCTGAAACTTATGGAGCAGCCATCATCTTGACTGCTGTTGGTTGCTACGCCAGAGGGAGAAAGAAACTCTGCAGGGTTTATGTATTAAAGGAGAAAAATCTTTTAACCTTCTCAATAAAACTGGGAAGAAAAGAAAAAGTATCTACAAAAAGGTGTCCAGCAAGCAGCATATGCGGATACTTGACATACATTTATCCCTTGGTATCCATGGGGCCTTGGTTCCAGGACCCCCAAGATACAAAAATCTGAGGATGCTCAAGTCTCTTTATGTAAAATGGCATAGTATTGGTACATAACTCACATATATCCTCCCATGTAGTTAAATCATCTCTAGATTACTTATCATGCCTAATATAACGTAAGTGCTAGGTAAGTAGTTGTAAATACAATGTTAATGCTATGTGAATAGTTGTCAGCATAAGGCAAATTCAAGTTTCACTTTTTGGAATTTTTAAAAACCTTTTTCAATCTAAGATTGCTTGAATCCGTGGATGTGGAGCCCTGGGGTACAGAGGGCTGACTGTAACAGAAATGGTATTCCAGTGCATTGGGGAAATAATGGACTTTCCAATAAATGGTATTGGCATTATTATTTATCCACTTAGAAGAAAGTAAAGTTAGATCTTTGCCTCAAAGCATACCTCAAAATCAGTACAGGCAGCTTAAAGAGCTAAATATAAAATGCAGAATGAAAACTCTCAGAATGTGTAAAGACTGTCTTTGTGCCCTTGAGGATACGGATAGATTTCTGTAACTAGATTCAGGAAACACAGATGATAAAGCAAATGGCTGATAAATTTGACTATATTAATATTGAGAAGTTCTAGTTATCAAAAGACACTTTTTTTAAAGAAGGCCTAGCTACAAAGTGGGAGAAGATGTTTGCAACATATAAAAACAGATGTATCTATATATGTATGTCTTGAATATCTCAAGAACTCCTACAGACCTTTAAGAAAAAGGTAAAACCTATAGGCAAGTGGGAAAAGTAAAGAAATTTATAAAAGATGAAGAAAGTTCCATAAAATAAACATGAAAAAATGCTCAACCTTATTATTCAGAGATATGCAAACTCAACCCACAATCTGATAACCATTATTTCACCCATGAGATTGGCAAAAAACACTTTTTTAACCCAAACAATATAAAATGTGAGATTTTTGAGTTTTAAACATTTTTGAACACTCTGAATCAGTTTCCACGTTGTAAAGTTAAGTACATGTGCTACAACCAAGCAGTTTCATTTCTGAGCATACACCTTAAAGAAATCCACACACGTGTGCCAGGAATTTACAGTCGAACTGTTCATAACAGCAGAAAACTGGAAAGTACCCAAGTACCCATCAACAGAAGAGTGGACAAATAGGTTATGTGTGGTGTGTTGCTGTTAAAGAATAATTACACAAGCAGAAATGAACTCGTTACACAAATCACCTGGATGAATCTTAGAAACATAATTTTAAGTGAAAGAGGCCAGTCACATAAGAAAACCTAACACCATGATCCCATTCGTATAAAGTTTAAAACCAGACAAAACTAATGTGTTGTCCAGGGCCGTATAGTTCGTAAAAGCACAAAGAAGAGGACGGAGGAGACTGATTAGCACAAAACACAGAGTGGGGATCACCTCCGGTGGGGGGACAGGGAGCGATTAGAGAACGCATGAAATGCTAGTTAGGTTATTTCTAATCCTGTGCTGTGTGCATAAGGGTCAATGACTGATTTGTAAGCTGGACATAAATATTTTTATTTACTCTTTTTCTATGTACACTTTATTTAGAAAATAACTGCCATATGAGAAAGTTAAACATTTTCATTTTTAAACATTTGGAAAATGAGTATAAATGTAATAAATGAGAAGAATGGCATCCTTAACATTCTTACAAAAACAATGTCATTGAGTAATTCTCAGATATGGTTGCAGTATGCTTCAGGTTGTATCTTTGCCATTTTTGAATGACAGCACAAGCAGAGGCATTCTTACATGATGCTGTGTGCAGAGACGTGTCTTATCAAGTGCAAAATTGATTTAAAAATAACATGAGTAGCTACTGCTTGTAGAACCTAGTCATGAGACTGAGGCTTGTGTGCACTGACCAGATGAAATGCATTTGTCTGAAACGTGGTTTTTCAAGAATTAAAGCAAATCGCAGTTTACTGTAATATTTTGGGGGGTCCATCAGTAGTTGAAATTGCTTTAAGCTGAAGTCCTTTTGAAATTTTAATAAAAATGCCACCTTTGAACCTTTGAATGAGGTTCAAAATGATAACCTACTAACGCTGAAACATTTCATTTTGCTATGGTAAAAGTGGGTTTGAATTCATTTTCACTAATATAAGGCAATACTCTAGGCACAGACTTATTTTAAAAAGTGGAAAGGAACTGTACACTCCAAGAGCTTATTTAATATTAAAAGTGGTTTTTAAAAACTTGGTCATGAACCCCTGAATACAGTTAGAACCTATATTAATAGACCAGATGGCCAAAAAGATTGATGAATTGCAACCTTAAAAAGGTACAAGTGAGTTTTTAAGTAGTTGACTAAAGCCACCGCACGTCACATAAGGGTCCCCACTAATAATGAAAACTAGCCGTTTTAAGAAGAGCACAAAAACACTACACTGAAAACAGTTCTGCTGTCTTAAGGGGGAAAGTCTTAGGGGCACCGTCATCCGGCGTCCCCACAGACGACCTCCGTGCCCTGGGGGACTGGTTAAGTAACGGGGGGCGGTTTTAGAACAGCCCCGGGGGTCTCAGTTACGGAAAAGAAAACGAACCTCCAGATGTTCAACTTGAAACTTTCTGCGCTTCCATGTCCCCATGTTCCTTGCGTGTTTCTTTCCTCTTCACCGTCAGGAAGAGCCACCTTCAGAGGGCCGGCTCCGCCCAGTGTGACCTCAGCCTGGTGGAGACCAGCAGCACCGGCGCCCACCACCGTGAGTAAACGCACAGCGAAGGGCTTATTTTGAAGCCCTGGATTAGCTGGCGGTGGTTACATGCAGGGATGTGAGTCTGTCCAAAAAAGGGTGACCCTAAAGCTTTGTCCATGGGTTTTGAACTAAGCTCTCTCTTTCAGGTGAAGGTGAATTTCCTATTAGCTGTATCACACAAGCCATTTTTTTCCCCAAGGAAAGCCATGCTATCTCAGTGCGTGAAGTTACATTGCTGGCCATGCTGTGTCACACAGATTCCTGTAAGAGACTGACTTCTCCAGAAGTAATTGCAAGTGGGCTGGTATACAGGCAAGAAGGAGTATTTATCTGTGAAGATAGGCAGATCTTTGGGAAGCTTGTAGGTCAGTTCATGTTTTAAAACTGTCATTAGACTTCTGCTTCTGGCCAAGATGGAACAGGGACTGGACTTACTTCCTACTTGATAAATTTTAAATAGACATCATACATGAAGCAGTGGTTTTCAAGACATTGGGCAACAGGAAACAAAGGATTGTGATTCCTGAGAGAGGGGAAGCAGACGAGGCGAGCCAACGACTGCCTCAGATTTTTGCCTTGAGAGAGCTTCGGGGCTGTGGCACAGGGTGGGGGAACCCTGGCTGAGCTTGGCAGGCTCCCTTAGTTGAGAAGATGAGCTGGGAGTCCAGAAAGATCAGTGTGGCTGCAGTTCACTGCATGGAGTACTGGAAAAGAGGGAGCCGCCCAGAGGGAGGGTCCCGGAGATCTTCAGTTCAAGTGTTCAGCTGAGTGAGGATCAGCACACACACAGCAGGGAAGTACTTGCGCTCAGGGAGTCACCTGAAAGGGCTAGAGGTCCCCAGCACTCGTACAGGGCTAGGAGCAGTGTCTGTTCTCAGTAAGACGACTAAAACTTCTAGTTAGTCATAGGGCACCAGGTAGAGGACACAGGGGAGCGTCCCCCCAGGAGTGGGGAATCGTGAGCCCCAGGCGGAGCGCTGCTCAGTCCTGCCTCACGAACCTGAAAAGCAAGAACTGAAAGAATTAAATTGTTTCCAAATAACCTAACTCCCTCCCAGATCAAAGCTCAATAATATAAAAAAAAAAATTCAGTACTCAGCAGGTAAAACTCCCATGTCTCACATCCAATAAAAAACCTACCGGTTTAACAGACACAGAATCATCAGTGTGACAGGCCACCATACGCACTTCCCTGAGAACACAGAGAAGGCTTGGCATGTTGCAGAGGCCCATTTTAAAACTGGGTTAGTTGGTTTTTTTGTTATTGAGTTGTTTGAGTTCCTTATTTATTTTAGATTTTGACCCCCATAGATATGTTTGCAAATATTTTCTCCCATTCCTTAGGCTGCACTTTCATTTTGTTGATTATTTCCTTTGCTGTGTTAACCTTTTTTAATTTGATGAAGTCCCTCTTGTTTATTTTTGCTTTCATTGCCTGAGCTTTTGGTGTCATATTCCAAAAAATCATTGGCATGGCCAATGCCGAGAGTTTTTCCCTTGTATTTATTCTAGGATTTTTAAGTTTTCAGGGCCTACATTTAACTCTTCAATTCATTTTGAGTTGATATTTGTGTATGATGCGCTTTTACCCCTATAATTCTGGATAAATGAAATATTAAAATAACTGTTTACAAGATAGTCAAACATAGGATTTTAAGTGTAGGATTTCTTATGCGTTAATCACAAGTTTGTTTTTTTATGAAGTTTAACTAACATTCTTCTCTCTTCTTACTGAGTGTCATAGAACCAGTTGCTTCTTAATATATAGCCCATGAAGGAGACAAAAATTTTTCCTAGTTATTCCAGCAATGAGTCTTGTCCTTTGTATATGCGACCAAAAAAGGAGCAAAGAACGTGAATGGATGTTAATTCTTTTCCACAGGTCATGGAGAACACTGAAGAAATATCGCAGTGAACCCACATCACTGCTTTGTTACAAAGGCAGAAAATGAACCACCATAAGGTAAAAGAAATGGAAAGATTTAATCCTTCTTTGTTCCCTAACAGACTTAGTTATCATCCCGTGAAACCGTCAGGCCCGCAGTGAGGCGGGCGTTTCTGTGACGTGTGTCACTAGCTCGTGCGCAGCTGGTCGTCAGGGCGGTGGTGGCGGTCCTGTGTGGAAGGTGCGCTGGTGCAAACATGCTTCTTCCCAGTAAGCCTGTGTGGTGAGGCAGAGGCAGACTTTCTCACAACTGAGGAGAAACTCTTAGCAGTGTATTAAGAAAAATGATGAAAATCCTTTAAGGCCAAGGAGCGGCTGGTGTCATGGCTTCTGCCCAGCCTTGGCCTGTGTTAAGCTGTCGGGGGAACCGCAGGTACAGGGGAGCTGTGCACACGTTCCACCTGGTGATTAGGGAAAGCACTGACTGAAGAAAGCTACCTCATATTTTTAATAGTGATGAAATGGTTTCTATTAAAGCAATTGATTTTAAATATCTATGTCTGAAAGGAAGAAACAAAGACCCAAAAGTTTAAGTCTACAAAAGATGGACTAATTCTCAGTGGAGATGCTAGTGGAAATTTAGGATTATTGTTTTTGTTACTTCTCAGGTTAAAAAAATTCCAAACTTGTTTTCCCATAAGCTTTTTTTTTTAAGGCCATGATTTTGCCGAACATGAGGTTTCCCTCTTATTAGGGGCAATGTAAAGAACTCATTAGGCCAGATCAATGTCTCCAGTTTTTCCAACTGTGTAGTTACCCTAAAACATAATAGAAACCAATAGTGACTTTCAGGATGTATGACAGTAAACCGTCGTGGAGGAGCTTGGAGCAGTGAGTGTTGCAAAGGTCTGGAGCTAGTGAATAGACGCGGCAGAGGAGCAGGCACTGCTGAATGTAACAGCCCACCTGTGACCTCCTCCCCGTCAAGCCAGTTTCTCCACATCCTTGCCAACACTTGTTTTTGGTTTTTTTAGTAACAGCCACCCCAATGGGTATGAAGTGGTATCTCGTGGCTTTGATTTGCATTTCCCTAATGCTTAGTGATGTTGGACATCTTTTCCTGTGTTACTGGCCATCTGTGTATCTTTTGGACCTATTTATCCAAGTCCTTTGCTCATTTTGAATTGCGTTGTCTTTTGTTGTTGTTGTTGCATTTTAGTTCTTTATATGTATCCTGGTTATTAATCCCTCAGTTGGTACACAATGACTTTTCCCACATTCCAGCCCTGTGTGGGCACCGTGAACTGACTCTGTCACTAGCACCAGTGATTCATTCGTTCACCCATCATTCACTTATTTAACAACTACCTGTAAGCTTGAGCCACTGCAGTATACAAAATGAAAAACCCTCACAAAATCTTTTTTTAATCAACAGACTTTATTTTTAGAAAAGTTTTCGATTTATAGCAAGATTGAGACAGCAGAGAGCTATACGCTACCTTCTTGCAGTTTCCCCATTAAACATCTGTGTAAAATGTACTAGTGCGCTACATTTATTCACGTAAGTGAAACAACACTGACACATTAACAAAATTCTAGTTACATTAAGACTCCTCTTTTTGTTATAGTTTTATGGATTTTGACAAATGCATGTTATATGTCCACCACTACAGTATCATAGTGAATAATTTCACCACTTTAAAAATCTCCTGTGCTCCACCTACTCAGCCTTCCCAATCTAGTGGTAACCACTGATCGCTTAACTGTCTCTGCAGTTCTGCTTTTTATAGAATGTCACATAGCTGGAATCACATAGTATATAACCTTTTCCGGCTGGCTTCCTTCAATTAGCCACATACAGATTAAGATTCCTCTAATGTCTTATGGCTTGATAACTTTTTTTTAATAAGCTATATGATTTTTTTAGTGGTTTAAAACTTTTTTTCAATATAAAAATATACATAAGATTTACCTTTTTTAAGTGTACAGTTCCGTGGCACTAAGTCTATTCACATCAGTGCAGCCATCACCACCATCCATCTCCAGAACTTCTCCATAATCCCAGACTGGACACTGTACCCTTTAAACAATAACTCCCCCAGCCCCTCCTCCCCTCAGGTCCTGGTAGCTGCCATTTTACTTTCTCTCAAGTACTTGAATATTCTAAATACTTCATATAAGTAGAATCATGAATTTGTTTTTTCGTGTCTGGCTTATTTCATGCAGCATGTCTTCAGGGGTTCATCAACAGTATACATGAATCAGAATTTCACTCCTTTTATGACTGAGTAATATTCCCTTGTGTGTATGTACCACGTTTTGCCTATCTGACCATCTGCTGATGAACATGAGTTGTTTCCACCTTTTGGCTACTGTGAATAATGCTGCTATAAACACTGATGTCTAAATATCTATTCAAGCCCTTGTTTTCAGTTCTTTTGTATAAATACCCAGAAGTGGAAGAGCTGGATCAAATGCTAATATTTAATTTTTTGTGGAACTACCATACTGTTTTCTACAGCAGCTATACCACTTTATATTCCCTCCATCAATGTACAAAAGTTCCAATTTCTCCACATCCTTGCCAATACTATTTTTTTTAATAATCCTAATGGGTATGAAGTGGTATCTCACTGTGGTTTTGATTTGCATTTCTGTAGTCATTAGTGAGGTTGAACGTCCTTCTGTGTGCTTGTTGGCCATCTGTATCTTCTTTGGATACCTGTCTATTCAAGACCTCTGTCCAGCTTTGAATTGGGGAGTCTTTTGTTGTTGTTGCTGAATTTTAGGAGTTCTTTATATATTATGGATGTTAATCCCTCTCTGATACATGATTTGCAAAAATTTTTCTCCCACTCTGTGGACTGCCTTTTTCACTCTGATGATCGTGTCCTTTGATGCATAAATACTTTAATTTTTGATGAAGTCCAGTTTGTTTTTCCTTTTGATGGCTGTGACTTTGGTGTCATGTCCAAGAAATCACTGCCAAATCCAATGTCCTGAAACCATCTCTGTTTTCTTCTGAGAGTGGTAGTTTTAAGTCTTACACTTGGGTCTGTGATCCAAATGAGTTAATTTTTATATATGGTGTTAGGTGAGTCCAACTTTGTTCTCTAGCACGTGGATCTCCAGTTTTCTCAACACCGTTTGTTGAAAGATGGTCCATTTCCCATTAAATGGTCTTGTATACTTCCCCAAAGTCACTTGACTATGTATGTGAGAATTTTTGGATTCTTTATTCTATTCCACTGGTCTTTATGTCTGTCTGTGTCAGTACTGCACTATTTTGAGTACTGTAGCTTTTCAGTAAATTTTGAAATCAGAAAATGGGATCCATTCAAGATTATTTTGTATATTTGGGGATGCTAGACATTCCATTTTAGGATGTATTTTTCTGTTTCTGTAAAAAATGTCATTGAGATTCTGAATGGATTACATTGAATCTGCAGATCATTTTGGGTAGTACTGACATCACATCAGCATTAAAGCTTCCAATCCATTCTTTCCACGGGGATGTCTTTCCATTTATTGGTTTCATCTTTAATTTCTTCGGGAGTGGTTTGTAGTTTTCAGCGTACCCGTCTTTCACCTTCAGTGAGTTAATTCCTATGTATGTTACTGTTTTGGGTAGTATTGTAAAGGGAATTGCCTTAATCTCTTTTTCAGATTGCTCACTACTAGCATAAAGAAAGGCAGCTGACTTTGGTGCTGCTCCCTTTGCTGAGCTCTCTTGCCCCCTCAGAGCTGCTGCTGAACCTCACAGTGAAGATGTTACTCCTGTGCCGTCTGCTGCAGAGCGTCTGGTTCCTTCCTATAGTTCCTCTTCATTGGTGTTCTCATTTTATTCATCATCTGCCTTATTTCCTTTAGTTCTCTGAACATATTTAAAGGCTTTTTCTACTAAGTTCAGCGTAGGGGCTTCCTCCAGGCCAGTGTGCGTTCCTTTGAATAGGCCTCATCTCCCCACTTTGTATGCCTTGCGGATCTTGTTGTTGTGGAAAATTGGTTTCACTTTTACAATGTGGTGATTCTGGACATGAGTCTCTTTTCCCCTCAATGCCTACCGGCTGCTGCTGTTCTCATTGCTGG